GACATACCACATAGTTGCACAATTAACTTCCCGAACATCGAGGGCCAGTATTTCACAGGGTTAGCTACTTTGATTCCTTGCGATCTTGCTAAAGCACAAAAAGTGCAAACACGCATAATCGCACCGGCCCTCCTGGTGCGTTCCAGCCTGGGTTTGCTTCAGAAATCAAATTCGTCAAATTGAGAAGTTTGTTGTTTTGCAGCACAGTTTTCTCGGAAGCAGTTGTAAATTATCTTTGCAGTACAGGCGTGGAGCAGCTCCGGCAGTACCTCATCGTAGCACAGGTGTTTTTTAAATGCCAAACTGTTTGCAATTTTTTAAAATTTTGCGGTCGCTAATTGAGAAATTTCGTGGCTTTTTCTAAAAATACTCTTGTAAATATTGCTTTCAGAATAATAAAGCAACCTTGGAATATCATGAAAATTGCAAGCAAAAGCTGCTGATCATATCGGATCTATTGGCTTTTTTAGCAACACAAAATAATGGCTATCTTAGAAAAGCAATCAGAGATATGATTATTGTAAGTAGCTTACTCCTGGAAAATTTTTTTTCGGACGTTTGAATCGGAACTAACCGCTCCCAGCATTAGTTTCACACTGTTTTTGCAATTTTTATAAAATTTCAGGAGGATCGAGAAATTTTGAGAAACACGGCACCCACCTTTGAACAACTTCATGATTTGTCGCTACCTTTTCTGATCAGAATGGTTACAAATTCTCCAGATCTTCTTCGCTTTGTTGTGCACAATGCGCATGATTTAGGTTTGTTTTACCTGTACAAACAAACAAACAGTCAAAAGACGGAATACCGAGCTTCTTGGGGAGAAAAAGTTGATGGAGACTCAACAAGCCATTGAACGATGCGCAGTAGATACCAGAAGTTTCTAGTAACGCATTTTCAGTCAGATGTGAAGTATATTATCGAGGCGCTGTACGCAATAGAGAAAGATTGAGCTCATTTTTGGCGAAAATCGGAACAAGTGAGCAACGCAGATTATCGCTTGGTACCTAGAGCATTTTAAAAGAACGGCGGAAAGACTACCAATGCGGCAGAGAGCCGCACTGACGCCCTATGTTAATTTATGTAGGATGAGAAAGGTTTGGAGAAGAATGGAAAAGTTGCTAGCTCCATCATTGGCCATTTTTTGGGGGGAAAAATTAGTTCTGCTTTTAGTTGACGCTTGACTCGACGGTCTTGGAAGTGAGATCTGCGTTGCCCATTTGTTCCAATTTTCGCCAAAAACTAGCTCAGTCTTTCTTCACTGCGTACACCGCCTCGATAATATACCTCACTGTCTTTCAATTGGGCAGCGTGCCACCACATGGGGCCGCTTTTTTGTGACGCAGCTTTTTAGTAGGTATGGATTGTGGAGAAATTTTGACAACTCATTTCGGTGCTAAAGTAAGTCCAAGCTGAAAAAACGGCCAGATGTTTCACAGTTTTTATTCTCCTTATCTCTGGTGCCTCTTACAAACTCAGCATTACATTTTTTTACGTGATAACGAGTGACGTTCAATGGTAAACATTTGAAAAAAAAAAATGGTTTTTAGCTACAACGGATTTGATTGTTAATGGAGCCAAATTCATATCGCAATTGAACAAGCAATGCTTATTACCGAAATTGTCAAATACTGCATACAGTTACGCTGCATTCATGCGTCAGCTGGTATTTTATCTTAATTCAGAAGGTTTAGCGCTTGTTATGGAAGTGGCATTACCGGTTGCTCTGAATGACCACCTCATTGAAAGTCAGTGTTTTTTTATTTTTTTATTTTGGGTTTCCTTTTAACATAAAATTATGCACAACTGTTTAATATGCTCAGCATGAAACTAGTTACCACGAGGAAGTTGGCAAGCTTGAACAATACACCAAAAATCTTGCCCAGACAAAAAAACTGCTACCTGCGCACGACTTCGAGTTTTGCACCAACCACCCAAACTCACAAACGATGGCATTGAACGGCCGAGCCGAGCTAAGTTTTAGTAGTTGCTTATTGATGTGACTCAAAAACGGTGCTGGAACGGCATGTTATCTTTTCGGTAACTTTATTCAGTGGAATAATTAGTGATTTATTGTAGTGTTTGGTTTGCTTATGTAGGCTTTGAAATGAATAAGGATTTCAGGTTTCCCAGGTTACAAGACCGCATTCTGTAATAAGTTGAGGAATGGCGCATGCTCTATATTGGTTCGTTATTCTATGCTACTCTGATTTATTGCTTTATTGCATTATTGAATAATCTAGGAAAAGGAAAAATCAACTTTTTTTGTTGAGTATTTGGAAAATTATGATGAAAGTTATGTTGATTGTTATTTAGAACGAGATTTTTGGTCTGATAGCAACAGGTGTTCATTCACAGAAAATGTGCCTCGCAACTGAAAATGCCATTCTGAGACGATGCGCCAGCCAAAGTTTTTTAAGAAGAACTGTTCTGGATATAATGAAAGGCGGGAAAAGGTTTTGTTTTTCTACTGCTTATTTTTATTCGTAGTTTACTGTGAAAAAAAAAAATAATTGGCCAACGCACGGGCTGTCCGTGCGAAGATGCGTTTTTTGCATAGTTCCTCGCAGTTTTTTCGCTATCGGCATCGGCTTTCTGGACAAATCCTTCTAGCTAAACAAATGAAGACTGGCTGCCAGAACTGGCAAGAAACATCCCCTTAAAATTTCAGCTTTCTAGTTTTCCTGGCTTCTGAGTTAGCAACTTGCTGGGGAAAGCTTTCACGGGCCCGCACGCAGGTACGACGCAATCCCGATGTCTGGGTTTGAGCTCTTTGAGATTTACTTGGACGGGGAACATTCCCTTAAAATTTCAGC